ACATTTTAATCAATATATTGATTAGTGAGATTAATCACAGAGCTTGCTCACTTGACCACTTGAATTCCCCTTTGAACCCAAAAATTCTCAGAGAATCGCTGAGTACCAAAGGAATGATGCATTATATTTGTCCACAAGCAAATTTATGTAATGGACAACCACGGATTTGCCCCCCCCCCCTTTATGGCACCGCCACGTGCTACGTCACCGCTCGCTCACCTTCGAACTTTGCTCAAGGGATTAAGACACGCGCTTAACGACTTAACACGTGCCGCTATCACCCCCCCCCCCCCTCCCCCCACTTCACCTCCGATCAGCCAAATACGGTCGTCATGATGTTGGTTACGGTAGCGCACATGCCTTTGCGGTCACACTGAATCAAGGAGACGATTCAAAAATCCGTTAACAGAATCGAAAATCCACGACAGAGAAGCGATTCGCAATGCATGACGAGCCGTTAATGGTCGCAACGAAATGCGCCTACAAAATTCGGAATGGCCTGTTAGATGGTGAGAATACGCATAGCAGGTGTATATGTTTCGAATTCGAAGGTCTCGGGGATGCTATGTTCCAAATACTTCCAAATAATAATCTTAAGAGATCAATTACCAAATCAGAAAGGGCTTGAATCACTCAAAGGACGAGTTTTCTCACCTTCTTTCCTATTTTGCATCCTACAAAGGAAATGAAAGAAAAAAGAAATAGCATCAGAAATTCCTAGGGCTCCCCTCGTGATTTGTGGCAGTAAATTCCCACATTGCACCCATTTTTTCTACGAGCAAGCGAAACCCATGACTTAGATTCTTTCAACATCACAGTTTACCATTGTTTCTGAGTTCTTATCTTAAATAATTATAATTTATCGGTTATTATTCTGACAGTTTACGTCAGTCATAAGTCTGTAGTGAAAACATTGATGACAATACGAAACACATTTACAGTTTGTCATATAAGCACTGCTAAAACTTAAGGAAAAATTACAAAAAAGTATTTAAAAAATTTCCGTAAATCTTTCTTTTTCAAAAACACATGGACACTTTGATTCTTTTTGAAGGAGCAGTTTTTGCTCCACTAGGAGAAGTGTGGTAGGGACAAAGAATAATTGTGATATTACTGTAATATGTCTGTAGGATTACGGTAATCGTATGGTAAATATTCTCCTTGAAAAGATTAGGGTCGAAATTAGTATTTTTGCATCGTGTATATAACAGCTACAAAGTCAGGCGAGTTACGAACTGGATTTTTTAAAGAACTGTGTTACTAATGTATACATACGGTAGTCTTACGGTAGTCATGGTACAGACTTCTGATGTTAGAATTCAAATGCCAGGACACATTAATAATTGGTCAAGAAACCTTTGACTTCCCAACAAGCGAAGCTTTACGAAGAGGATATTTTTTAGCTAATGCATCATGACAGTAATGGTGATCTTACAGTAGGTAGTAGGGCATGGTCTTGTTACACTGTATCATAGATTAAGTATGTACGGTAACCATACGGTAGGTACTCTGTCAAATGAACATGAACTCCAGTGTTTTTTCAATCATTACAGTTTTTCACCACTTGAAGTAGGTTACGCGTTGTTTTATGTTTCTAATGTAAGGCGTATGAGTATACGGTGGCCATACGGTACCTGCGAAATTCATAGGCTTAAAAGCGACTTGTTGGGCATATTAGCAGCATCAGTCGATGCAGAGTACAAGATGAATTATTTTTGCATGATGAATGTAGGCATACTGTAGTTAGATAGTAAGATTTCTGTGAAAGCAGTGAGTCAGTGAGACTGCGATCCGTGCATTTCGCATCGATGTGATAGTATCATTAGGTATCACCATTGCTTCCTCCCACCCGCTTCTCTTCACTGCCAAAAACACATAAATTCTAAATTATTTAATCACAGCCACGTAAATTGCGCTTTTACGAGCACTTTAAAGCTTTCTTAGCATAAATTTCTTCCCAATGCTCAAAAGGGTATGTGCACCCAATGCATCGCTCACTATCAATCCACACTTTCGATTTTTTCCGCGGCACAAATTGTTCTTGGGGCGCTATCAGCTTGCCGACATTCGGACGACGTCGGCAAGATGAAAGCGAGTCGCGGGCAGTATCAGCGATGTCGCCAGCACAGCAGCCCCCCTATCAGTGGTGACGGCGGCTGCGCTCGGCGCTCGCCCCAAGTGCCAACGGACGCACCTCCTTTACAAGGGGATTATCACACATTCCATTGTACACGGGGGAACTACTGTCGATAATGGCAAAAATACGACTTCCTGGAGTTCTAGAAAAATCGAAGATTTACTTCACAAATGCAGATGTAAGCGAGGCTATCGTCATGACCGAATGTTTGAAAAGCAAAATCGAGTTAAAATCTTGAAATTCACAGTTTTTGGTTACTATCAAGCTTGACCAATTTTTTGATGATTCTAGATTTGTTTTGGAAATCTCATTTACAAACGACACAGTTCATAAATGCTAAATACAAAAGATATTCCATTTTATCCACGAATGACTTTTATTTGAGTTATGGTCTATGATGTAGGGCGTCAATTTTATTGGGTGAAAGATTCTGAAAGAAACAAGGCTAAAACTTAAGATTTACTTAATGCGACTATCACGGCCGTCAGGAATTCTAGAAATTGGATTGAAAATTTTTCGGCAGCGTATGCACCACAAGCTCGCGTTTAAAACTCAACAAGCGTTAAGAAATCGAAGAATTACTGAAAAAGAAAACTCTTTGTTTCTAACATCAAACAAAGATAGCGCACCGGCGACATAAAAGCATTTTTATCAATTTTCCTGATCAAGCAGAAAGAACTCTGTATCGGCTAGCATCTTTTCCAGTATAACACCCTCGCAAGACCGAACGGCCAAAAGCCAAAATTGCGTGGAAAAAGTTGACACAATTGATAGTTATTTGCTGTCAAAGCAGTAATTAAATATCTGTGATGAGCTGTCAAAAAATCTCTGAATTCAAAAGTGGGGTCATGGAAATTCGCTACTTCGTCAATTTGTGACCCATATTTCACCTATAAGCTGTGCATTTGGTAACGAAAGTCTTTTTCACTGAAACAATGCATTCAATTTCAACAGATTGAGGGCTATAAGGGCTGGATGTCAAAAACTGTGCACATTTTGTATACTTAACATTCATTAAGAAAATTCGACCGCAAACTTAATTGAGCACGATAAGCTGAATTAAGCCTTGTTTTAGCCTCTTATTGAACAAAAGCGTGTGGTTACAAAATTGAAATGGTCCTTGTCAAAGAATAGGAATGTTGTGCGCAGTCACCTACCTAAAGTTACGATTATCTTATTTGTGCCTTACCAATCAATGAAATCCATGATACAGCGCTGTCGCTTTTGAGCGTAGATCATATTGAACTTTCTTTACCTCTAGGAAACTTAGCTAAATGAAGTGAAATATTATTTTTGTGCCTCTGAAAAATCACTGCAAAAACTTTACTCTCAGAGAGTGATTTTTACTTCTTAGTTCCTAGAGCATGGTTCGCAGCCGATTTCAGGAAAGAAATATTTTGCTGTCATTACTTTAGCATGTCTATATACAGGGTGTCCCAAAAGTATGTATCGAACGTTTGATCGTTAATATCTCTCTTCCCAAGAAGTCTTTTGCCTTGCTTCAAGTACCATTTTGTAGAGCTGGCTTCAACTTAGATTTGCATTAAAGAACGAATCACCCATCTCTCTTCATTACTGTAGGATTACGGTAGAAACTTGAAACATATGGTGTCAATGTGGAAAAAGCTGCAGTTCCAAAATTCTTCAAAAAATTGTGAAAACTTGTGTAATAGGGTTTTTATGGATGCTGAGTTCAATACTCAACTATTCACAAGATTACGAAGCTTTCTAAACGGTGTAATCGCACTTTTTAGGAACATTGAAAAAATGGCCGCTACCTCTTACCTGGCATAACTCCTCAATGAAGCATCATAATAAGTTGGGAACTTTACAGTTATAATCAGCAACTCTAATTAGCCTAGTGTGAAAACTTTCAGGCTGTTTTATTTCCTTTCTAAGGCAAAATATGGCCTTTCATTGCTTAAAACCCTCTTTGAAGTTTCTACCGTAATCCTACAGTAATGAAGAGCAATGAGTGATTCGTTCTTTAATGCAAATCTAAGTTGAAGCTAGCTCTACAAAATGGTACTTGAAGCAAGGCAAAAGACTTCTTGGGAAGAGAGATATTAACGATCAAACGTTCGATACATACTTTTGGGACACCCTGTATAAGGAATCGTAAGCGCCATTCAAAAAAGCTGAAATTGCGGGAAACCGCGCGGTCCCGCGGCGAAAGCGTCTGGCAATCTAGTACATTTACGATTACTGGTTCACCAGTATTGATGATATACTAATTAGGACCAAATGAAGAGTTCTAAGTTGTGCTAAATTTGAACGAAAAATTGAAAAATAAAAAATTGAAAAATTGATAATAGCTGGATCAGAATTCTGAGCAGTATTATAATCTTACATTTATCAATTGAAAAATCTTTGTACCACCGAATATTTCTACGAAATAATTTTGCAGCTTCATTATGTGAATTCCTACAGCCTTACTCCGGTTGCAAGGAAAGAATATTAGTTCTGAAGATGTATCATTGTAATATCCGCATAATTAGATAATAACTTTTACGGCTTCCCCTACCCTTCCCCCTCCCCCATATATGGCTAATGGATGACACTGTTGTGACAACTATCCCCGATTCACAGGATTATGCTACTGGGGCAATTCACACCTGCATATGCGGCTATTAATCACAATAGCAAGACGGCAGCATCGTACAAAACACCTGAATCCTTTGCTCGGTTCTTTACCTTGGCAATCCCCTAACCAAATCGGGAAGGGATCAACTCGTCTAGTTTTCTCCTTGCGATATTTATATCTTTACGACTTCGATTTTGCTTTTAGAAGACAATCGACGATGAAAATATTTGCCGCTACCGTAATCCCCAAAGCGCGAATTGGACGACGATGGATCAATCAAGCGCCTACACGACGACGTGAGTGGTGACGGTTGTTGGCGGCGGTGCATGACGAGAATGACAAAGAAGTGTCATAAAGATCGAATCTACGGCTATAGAATGGTAGTAAAAACGAGAACAGCCTAACCAACTTACTACTATGACGCCGATGGCGGCATCGTCATAGATGATCTTGACTAGTGATAAGGTCCAAGCGATGAGAAGAGGTCAATTTTTTGGTGGAGTGATGGAATAGGGGAGAATTTAAATGATGTCGCGACGATGAAGAGTTCATTATCCACTTTGATGATGTACACCCCCGGGGCAATTAAAATTTGGTGTCGGTGAGATCCAAGCGCGAACAACTGAATCGTATGAAACGTAATTGTCTAGTCATTTCACTCATGACGTGATCATATCAGATTGGGTTCGAAAATTTTGATACACCTTATTTTCAAAGAATTTCTTCAGCTTCGAAAGAAACCATGCATTTCTTAGCATTGTTTGAAGCAAAAAGTGCGAAATCGAGGAAATACAGAAGAAATGAAGATGAAAGCGCGAGGCGGTCATCATTCGCTAAAAAATGAAACCCCATAAAATTCAATTTTGATTTTGGTTACGGTTTTAGGACCAATTTTAGGACCAACCTTTTTAATTAAGAAAATTTGTTGTGATCAAACCCCTTTATGAATAGCTAAAATTTTCGACTTAATCTCTAGATAACTAATTTTTTCTTCAAAAAGATCTTTATTAATGATAAATTAGAACATTTGTCTTGCTTATTGAAAAAGAAGAAAGGGTTGAATACATTTTTCTCAAACTACAAAACAAATTCATCATGATTTGGTGTAAGATTTATGAAGCATCCTTATAGAACAAATAATTTGCTAAAGAAAATATTTGCTATTTTGCTTACGAGAAGCTGATGGTTATAAATAGAAAGAAGAAGGTTGAAAGCCTTTCAAATAGCCCTTGCATTACCAAACTAAGGGAAACCGATTATTATTATTTTTTGTTATAAGAATCCTAGCGATAAGTATGGACTACACTGACGAATTTTCGAAAATGAGACTGCCAAGGATTTTTGTTACTTGATACAGGTCCAGGTAGGCTATGAAAGCAAATGCAGTTGCTGCACTCCCTAAGTCGGAGTTCCTAAGACGATTGTGCAAGCATCCCCCTGACACAAATTTTTAGGACTGTGAATCTCGACCAAACCTCACCTTCATACCCCATCAAAACGCAGTTCTGCAACAGATCATATCTGCAAAGAGCCGTTTCCGCCCGGCAAAAGCGAAATTCGTAACAGAATGGCGGCGTTTGTCTCTGTGGCATATGTTGTGTGTGTCATAAAGTCGTGTAGTGTCGGCCGACTTCAGAGCGGTCGTTTTAATTGGGACCGGGCACTTAAAAGTTGCCTGAGACGAGTCCCGCTCGCTCTCACGCACACATGGCACCAGCACCAGCCGGCTCTGTCATCATCGGCTCGGCTGTATGGATGTCGAAGCTTTCGGCACTTCCGCGGGGACATGCAAAAATGTGAAATATTGCTTTTCGCTGCATAAAACAGAGATCTGGTCATAAGTACGCTAATTACTCCAGAAGATAAGTTTACTCAAGCATTCGCTCCATGGTATCGTTTCCCTTCTTACTGACAACCATCACGAGGAACTCCCGCAGGGGATATAGTGCTTGTAAAAGTTCCGCGGAGATAGTTTACTATGGAAATGTCAAGAAAAGCAAAAAACGGAGAAATTCTGCAAAAACATGAACCAAAAACCGAAAGCACCGCGCAACTACCAGAAGATACGACGGAGCTTCAAGGAAATTATACGAGACAGTATAATTCTACAGGATAGTAAGAAGCATTTTGTTGTGTCAACGCTTACTCATCGCAATCTTACCTCTTCAAGAAGTCCTGAACTAACGAACTAAAAATATTTGAATTTTTGAATTTGTTACTGTTCCACACATATTTATTCTTGCAAGCACGCATTTTTGAGGAGCTGGGGAAAAGGGAAATGCAATGATTTTATTGTTTGGCAACGAGGTTGATTTTTATGCACAATATCTATTCTTATTGCTATAATGACATTCTTTGGTACACTACTGATGAACAAAAATGGTTTCCATGAAGGCGGGGGGGGGGGGGGGGGAGCGGGGGATTTGAGAAAGATGGGCTGAAATTTATGTTTTTGCTTGACTGTCAAGAAGAATTTCTCAATTTGTTTTTTTTTCAAAACTTTAAGACCTCAAATTTGAATTTTCTTTGTGGTGTTCAATTCTAACACGCAAGAACGGGTGCGGCGGGTCCCCTCAAGAATATCGTGATAAAGAATAAGTTAGTAAATGAGAGAAATCTGGGCTTAAGAATACTTACAATTAGCAAGCAATTTTTTTCAAGTGGATATGATACAGCTAGTTGCAAGCATTGGTCAAAAGTTTGATCTTTTAATTTTTTGTATAGAAAATTTGTCGAAAAAATTGAAGCTGCAATCTACTTGCTCTTGTGAGAGGCAAAGAAGAATGCTGAGTGAGACTGAAGCTTCCATCATAAATGTGCCCGTCTGAACTGCATAAATTCGTAAGAGCTAACGTTCTCACACGATGCTGCAGATGAATGGAGCATAAAATGTTCGGAGTGAGAGAGTTTCTGCGCTTACGGACCTTATGGGCGATCAACTGTCTCCAGAGCTCTTTACAGGTACACTTCATAGAGGAATACGATCGAAAAGCAAATACCTAAGTTTTTTGCCATTTTGAAACGCATTTTTAGTTTTTGCATTTGAGGGGGGGGGGATACGTGCTTTGATGACTACACGAATCCGTTGATAAACTGTACTATGCATGTGTTAAGTTCAACCCAAATTTATAAGTCATAAAACCACAGTAATCTCCACTAGTTTTTCTCTCACCTACCGTAATCGCGCATAAAATGGCCGGCTATCACTCACTGATAAGCTGACCTAAATCTCTCCGATCAGCACCACATTTTTCTAACTACCGTAACCCAGTGATTGTTACACAGCCCGGTGACATGCAGTACATGCAGTCCGCACGTTGACAGATGTCTCTGCTGTGTGTGCGTGCATCTGTCTCACTACATAAACCTACCGTAATCCCGGCGCGCGGTGCGTTGGCGACGCGAAGGGAAAGAAGAAGAAAACGAGGGATTCCACACGGCCAGTCGTAAAACGGCAAGGTCGTGTACAAAACGCGCAGGTGTGACAGTCGAGAGAAAGATCGACGAGAGTGTGGAGACCCCGAGTGTTCGAGACGGTGGAGAGAGTTCGCAGGCTCGGGGAATGGCCCCGGCCGCGCCTCTAAGCGCCGTGCCGACAAGGAGTGCCGCGACGATTGTAAAACTTCTTTGCAAATTAAGTCCTCATAGTCATGGGTCTATTGATTGATGGATAATAGCTGAGTGCTAGAGTGAAAGTGCCTTAAAAGTGTAAAGGTATAAAATATTGGGCTGTGCGGGTTTTGGCTGGTAGACTCGAGATCCTGGGAAAGTAGAAGGGCAAAGGGATTTGATATGCATCAGTGAGGGTTTACGCTCTAGACTCAAACCATTTCATGGATTCATTTGAACTTTTCAAGTAAGTGAGACCCCATGCCTACGTCCCCCCAGTACCCCCCCCCCCCCACACACACAAAAAAAAGCCTAATTTTCTGCAAAATTATTTGCTTCCATTTTGTTCATTGATTGTTCTCTTGAAAAAAAGCTACGGGTACCATCTTCCTACCTAATTCCTCTCCCCCCCCCCCCCCCCCATCCCCAAATTGAATTTTCTGAACTCGGTGAAACGATCCAAAAATTCTTCTCGAAAACATCTAGAGAAGGGTGATAGATGCTATTTTCAGGAATTTTTTCCTAGGAAAAGATTTTCTCCTTGCGATCAAAGCCTGAATTTTCAAGAAAAATAATGACTTCAGGGGATTTTTTGATATTGCAATTTTGGTCAAACAGCTGGTTTGTCTTCTTAGCAAGTCACAAGGTTGTAACAACAAGCTACTCTTTCCATCAAAGCCACCTACCCCCTCGCTTCGGTAAAAAAACTAAAAAAAATTTCGTCCGAGAGGTTGGCTAACAACTCCCCCTCTATTAATCAACCTTCTCCTCCCCCCCCCCCCCCTCCCATTTTCCACAAAAAATCATTCTTCTGCAACATTGATTTGCCCCCGATTTTTAGTTCATTCTCTCTATGGGCACTAGAGCGAAAACTCATGTAAATTGAAAAAATTATGAAGCACAAATGCTTTAATTATCCCCCTTTCTCATTTTTTGGAGTTCTATTTCGTGAAAATCTTTTTTAGCTCTATATCTGTTTCGAAGTCGTTTAGTTGTTCAGTTGATGTGCTATTCTTTTAAAACCACAGATAGCAATTACTCCTGCCTCGAGATCAATGACCCTGACCGATCACTTTACATCGCAAAATACCGTAACCACATCGTCAAAAAACACTCAATGAGCTCGGTTTGAACGCGCTATATTTTTTCGATGCTGCTTCTGCAATAAACACTTGTGTGTCGCAAATTTGTTATTCAAATTGGAGCTGGTTTTGGTCGCTCGTAAAACGCGTGATACGGTAACGTGTCGGACGTCATTGCGGAGATGTGTGTCGATGAAAACTGACACCAAATGTAGTTGTGAGCAAGAAAAAAAAAGCGAAGACAAGATGTTATCGGTTTGCATCGATTCGTTAGGGGACCTACAAATTATCATTGCAGGGGATTTTTGAGAGGGGAGGGAAGACTGTCAAGAAAATCATTTGAAAAATTATAGTGTAAAGATAAGAGTTCTAGAAGAAAAATTACTCCAATGCCTCTGGTTCATATACCTTTTCTCAAGATGTATTTATTTATCCTCTTTTTGATTTCAAAAAGAATAAAGAAATAAACAAAAAAATGGAAAAACCATAGTTTGTATAGAAAACAGAAATAATATTGAAATTGCTGAGATCTATTCGTGTACAGTATATAAAAAGTGCGAGAAAAAGAAATCGTAGGAATGAACTTTTTACACCACTACATTGCA